TTTGGCGGTTTCCTAAAATGGTCTTGAACCAATTTTAAGAAACATCCAGATATCGAACCATCATTCGTCATTCTCCCCAGCATTCAATGGCAGAAACTTGAGGTCCAATCCCACATTTTCGCAGTGTGGATGTCCCCCCAATTCATCTGGAACATGTGCGATTGCATGGTTAAAATCATTTGCCCAGTGTTTCCAATATATATATATGTATATATATATATCTAATCTAACCCAACCTAACATCACCTAATCTAATCTAATCTAAGATCTGATCTGATCTGATCCATGTACTGTACATGAATCTATGTATATATGAATCTATGTATCCATGTATTTGTGTATCTATCTATCCAATTATCTATCTACAGGTACCTATCTATTTCTTTATTTCTCTATCTATTTCTCTATCTACCAGTCTATCAATCAATCTATCTCTCTCTATCTCTCTTTCTACGTATCTACTTATCTACTTATCTACTGATCTTCTTATCTATCTTATCCATCTTATCTACCTCATCGTATCTATCTCATCTTATCTAATCTATCTAATCTATCTAACATATCTAATCTATCTAATCTATCTAATCTAAACTAATCTAATCTAATCTTATCTAATCCTATCTAATCTATCTCATCCTATCTAACCCTATCTAATCCTATCCAATCCTATCCAATCCTATCCAGTCCTATCTAATCCTATCCAGTCCTGTCTATTCCTATCTAATCCTATCTAATCCTATCTAATCCTAATTATTCCTATCTATTCCTATCTATTCCTATCTATTCCTATCTAATCCTATCTAATCCTATCTAATCCTATCCAGTCCTGTCTATTCCTATCTAATCCTATCTAATCCTATCTAATCCTATCTATTCCTATCTATTCCTATCTATTCCTATCTAATCCTATCTAATCCTATCTAATCCTATCCAATCCTATCCAGTCCTATCTAATCCTATCTATTCCTATCTATTCCTATCTGTTCCTATCTATTTCTATCTATTCCTATCTATTCCTATCTATTCCTATCTATTCCTATCTATTCCTATCTATTCCTATCTATTCCTACCTATCTATCTCTCTATCTCTCTATCTCTCTATCTCTCTATCGATCTATTCATCCATCCATCTATCGATCTATCTATCGATCGATCTATCTATGAATCAATCTATCAATCTATCTATCTTTATTTCTTTCTTATCCTATCTATCTTATCCTATCTATCTTGTCTTATCTATCTTATCCATCTTATCTATCTTATCTAATCTATCTAATCTATTTCATCTATCTAACATATCTAATCTATCAAATCTATCAAATCTATCAAATCTATCAAATCTATCAAATCTATCAAATCTATCTAACCTATCTAACCTATCTAACCTGTCTAACCTATCTAATCTTTCTAATCTATCTAATCTATCTAATCTATCTAATCTATTTAACCTATCTAACCTATCTAACCTATCTAATCTATCTAATCTATCTATCTATCTATCTGTCTGTCTGTCTGTCTATCTATCTGTCTGTTTGTCTGTCTGTCTGTCTGTCTGTCTGTATCTCTATCTATCTGTATCTATCGCTCTCTATCTCTCTCGATCTCCATCTATCTCTCTCTTTATCTGTATCTCTATCTAGCTGAACTTTTTGGGTTAAAACTTGGCAAGACAGAGCAGTCTTTCCCTATGTTTGATGCTAAATTTCCTAAATTCTAGGGGTTCCATCTGCATTTTTCAGGGTGAACTCAGCCCTTTACTCCGACCTCGAGAGGCCCAGCAACGTTTCCGCGCGGTGCGCCAGGCCATCCCATTGCAGACAGATGGGTGTTGTTTTCATTCAAACCACCAGTGATTGGTGACCACTGGAAAAACATCAATTTCTCCGTTCTGGATGCTTGAGAGATTCAAAAATGTTTGTCCTCAACTCTAGTGATGGGTAGTCTTGTGGACACCATGAATTTGAAAGCGTAAAATCAGGTTGGGATGCATGATGATGTGATTTTGATGATTAATTATTATTTTTTGTCCACCCATATCACGGAGCATAGTTGGCATCGTGGCTTGAAAACGACTTTTGGTGACTTACCTATGAGAGCTATTGTGCAGAGTATATCCGTACGGAGGTTTCCTAAACAGGGGGTACCCCAAATCATGCAAAAATCAGATCATTTTACTGTACGTAGTATTGAAACCCATGACTTTGGGGATCTCCAATTTTTAGGAAACCACCATACAAGTAGAACCCGCGCGAGGCGGGTGGCGGAAGTTACCAATAAATCAATAAAATCTATTCTTTGTCTGTAGGATCTCGGCCAGAAAGCAATTCGCCTGTAGAAGATGGGGCCCGGGTCTCACCCCTCGCCAGTGCCACAGCTGCACTTCACTTTTCCTTGCAGAAAGTCATCTTTGTTGCGCCGCAGGAAGCACAGCCATGCGGTGCCGAGACGCCAGTGCGTGTGGACAATGTACTGTGCAAACCAGTGTGGGCAGATTTTTGGTTGCGCGGTCAGCACAGACACACGCTACCAATCACTCTGCTTCTGCCCAAGGCCAACAAGCCGCTCTCCCTGTCTTCACTTCTGATATCCCTCACTGAGCCTAAGGGCCAGACAAATGCATCATAGTGCGACATCTGCGGGAGCCTTGGCCTGCTTGCAGAAACATTAGGATCCCAGTACTAGACAGCCGATGCAACTTCTTTCAATAGTTCATATACCTTTGCTGCAAGATTGTCAACTTGCCGGAATCTATCAACGGCTCCATAACTGTCCATACAAATACTTGCACGTCTGAGTCGCTCTTTACAAACTCTTGCACGTCTGAGTGGCTCTGCAAGCAATCTCTCATTGCTTGGATTACCTCCTCTTCTTCCGGAAAAGACGGGGGGCACTCAATATCTGACTGTGTCAACTCGTCGCTTCCTGGCTTTGCCTCTTGCGACCACCTCTGAAAAGTCTTCGAGACGTAAGCTTGCACACGGCCGATGAAATCCATCTGCAACTTCCAGCGTTTGCCGCTGTCCTGTTCCAAACTCCGCATGCCAAGGCAGTTATCGAATATATCTTTGTAAGCCCACAGCACCAACAAATCGATACGGGCCTCATGCCAGGAAGTCCTCGTCCAGACGCCCTCCAAGCTCTGTTGTGCGAATGTCTTTGGCCACAGCTGTGAGAGCAGCCAGCGCAACGCGTGCATCTTAGTCCTATTGTGCTAATTTGCCCACCTTTTCAAACAACGTTTCGCCGTGTCGCCATCAACTCTCAACCGCGCCTTGTGTCTAAACACGAAATTATGAGCCTCTAGCCAAGGGCCCTCTGAGGCCCAGCTTTGAGCAACTTGCAGCCTATGCTATTATATTATGCTTCTCAGATCTTCTCAGTCTCTGTCCTCATCTTTGCTCTTGGAAAGAAACATATGAAACATGTGCCAATGTTTCTCCATGTTTCTCCTCTGGGACACTAGGCCAGGCCGGAACAAGTTTGGTATTTCTCCGAACTGGGCGCGGGCCTTGAACTCCCGAACTCTTTCCAAAACAAACTGCCCTTTAGGATCGTCCAACTTCCTTTGTCGGTGTTGCTCAGTTTTTCCCCTTTACGCCGTTTGCAGCTGCTGGAGCCTCCGGGATCTGAAGCCTCCACTGCAGCGTCGACAGGTTTTGAGTTTTGAATTGAAAGGTTAAACATCTTGTCCACCTGTTCTAGCTCTTCCGCTCATTAGCTATCATCGATTCCCTTCTCTCTGCATTTGCACATCTTTGTTCTCCTCAACGAAGCGCCGCAAATCTTGCAGCCTGTCATTTCCAGAGCGCGCGGGGGCCCCAGCCACGGCTCACCACAGGAGACATGAGACGTGAGACGTGGGCAGTACAGCCGCACGGGCCTGATTCCAGCAGATACAAGCAACGCGGGCAGCACAGCCGCACGTTGAAAAACGCCCTACACCCTAGACTGCTGATTTCTTGTGCTCCTATCGTAGTCGTTGTGCTATTGTTGTGTATGTGATGTAACGTAATCATAGCTCAAACTCACGAAAGCTGTGGCCAAAGAGCGAAGCAACATCAAATGGACATGCGAGGACGCAGAGCAAGTCACTCATGCATGACAAACAACAATGCCTTCTCAAATGCGGGGAACGATTTGTTTGGATCAGAAGAAATGTCACGCGAAAGGGGAACATAGATGAACGATTGGCAAAACATGAGGTCATGAACCCCTTCGTTTCTTGAAACAAATGAACATCTGATAACCACAACACGCATTGAAACCTTGTATTGTCAAACAGCAGATGTGAGAAAGGCATGCGGTCACCAGCCGTGTCCTCAAGGTGATTTCTTTCTAAATGGCTCTCTGAATTCAGAGTGAACAGCAAAGAGTAGGGTTGTAAAGAAAATTGGAGCAGAGCAGAGAGCAGAATAGGGAAGAGCCGAGAGAGAAGAGTAGAGAAGGGCAGAGAAGAGTAGCGCACAGAGAAGTACAGGAGAGAAGAGTACAGAAGAGTAAAGAGAATGTAAAAGAGAAGGGGACAGTGGAAAAGAATGGAGTGCAAAGACCTACGAGGCGCACAAACACGTTCATGTTTGATGCAGCAGTTCCACTGCGATCTAACAAGGCCGACTCGCAAAGCATCATCGATGGGCAATACACACCTCAGCAGTCACCTTACAAGTCACGAGAAATCTGCAATCTGAACCAAGAGGATTGCACGATACCCAAGGGATTCACGAGAAATTTTCAACTTGAACGTAAGAATTCACGAGAAATCTGCAGCCTTGAACCAAGGGGATTGCGGGGATACCGTAGGAATTCACGTGAAATCTGCAGCCTGACCCAAGAGGATTGCACGGATACCTTAGGAATTCACAAGAAATCTGCCGCTTCATGTCAACACCACAAGTCTCAACCACCAGGAATGCATGGATACCCACAGGAAATGGCCCGACCCCATCGCGCAAACTTTTCTCCGCAACGGAATGTCCGTTTACCTGCAAATTCATAATGTTTCGTGCAAATCCTAACATTCAAATCTCATCGTTGATCTAGCAGTTTCATGCACTCTAGCAACAGTGAGTTGCAAAGTTACTTCTCTACATCCGGAACATGCCAACTGCACTCAAGACCCTTGAGCTACTTTTCTACTTCAGGAACATGCCAACTGGATTTAATGATCTTTTGAACTATTTCTCTATTTCAGGCACATACCAGCTGGACACAGTGATCTTTGGGCAAATGAGAATGTGAAAGTCCGAAGCTTGGAGTTTCTATGTGAAATTTCCTTTGAGTATGGCAAATTCTACTGATCTAAACCAATCTAACTTAATCTAACTCGTAATCCAATTGTCCTAAGGGTCTTAACATCCAGCTGCGCAGGATCTGAAGAAACGTAAGGAGCAACGTCTCCAAAAGGCCGCTGGCGGCCTCGTCAGCGCCCAGGTCTTGCGGAGCCTGATGGAGCCCCAAAGATGATCCAAAATTACTCAATGGGCCATCAACGTTTTTTTTGACGGAAATCATCCAACTAAATGAATGGTTCTTTGTATGGGAACATCATTTATAACTTCTTGTTTTCATGGTTCATCGAACTAAATAGTTTTTTTCATTACATGTTTTGATTGTCGGAGTGTCCTATCATTAAGAAAAAGAAAAGGGAAACGAATGGTTTTGGGGTCCAATTCTATGAATACATACACACATTGACATGGATATATAATGTATATATATATATAGCATCCAAAATGCAATCATCTACACTGTGAAAGTACATCATATACTATATGCCTATACTGTTCAAGTCAGGTGGATGATGGATAGAACCTGAAACCCATTGACACCGCATGACTACTATTGTTTTGAATAAAAACCCTGGGGATCAAATTTACGTGGTACCCTGCTCTTCGAAATAGGTGATAGTTATGGATGTTCAGAATCCCATTCGCACTGACACAGTGATTTAGCTTAATCATCACATCCCCCTAGCGTTTATAAGGGGTTACCCATCAAAAATTTGGGCCAACCATGGTTTCAAGGTAGAAATGCACAGGTTTTGACATGTTTTGGCTCCTCAGATGTACGCCCAGATGCCTGGCAGGTGAAAGATGGGGAGGCCCTGCTGAATGTGGCATCCTGGCCGCCTTCCACTGTGCCTTGGTCCCCGTCTCCCACCCTACCATAGCCCCAAGTGCTCCTGGACCCGATTTGAAACAACAATACCAGGGATGCAACCGATACAAGACTTGTGAGAAGGAAATTGGTGATGATTTTAATTTTCGGGGTGGGTCAAGGCTTTGGGCACCTTTACTGTATACCCAGCAAGAAACTGATCATTTTGAGGACTTGGGGACCATCTAGTTCTTGGTGAATCGTTTTGAACCTGTTCCAAAAGTATCAGAATCGCTTGGATGTGGTCTGTAGGATCTGGGATCCATCCATGACGGAACCCGGTCCAACCGCATGGCCATAGGTGTTGGAGCTGGAAGTCTCCCTGCGCTCCCCAGGGTTGGAGATGGAGACGCACAGCGCGGAGATCCCGGCCAAGTTCAAACCTGCGGCTCGGTGAGACATGTGGAGACTGATGAATGGGGTTTTCATGGGATATTCCATGGGGATATTCCTGTGGATCATATTGGAACGGAGATTCAATGGGGTAATACTTGATCATATTGAGATTTGATGCGGACTTAACCATTGAATTCATATTGAAGTACTGATGGGGATTTAATGGGATATATATATATACATAGTATACGCGTGCGATTGGGATATTATGGGGATATTTCATGGGATGTAGAACCAGCTATTCTGGGATATGATGGGATATTTCACCAAACAATGTGGTTTTAACCAATGGACAATGGGGATATTACTGGAGATCATCTGTGCGGTAGAATGATGAAACACTAGCATTTTGTCAGCAACTTGATATGGCATTTCTAACCATTTGTGGGTCCGTTGCCTTGTATGGTTGGCGTTTTTATTTTGGGCCCTGAGCGATCCAGCTAATATTTTTAGACATTGATTTGCGCGGGAATGTAACTTTGGTCGGTGAAAGAACAGGCTTTCTGATGCATGATAATAACCATCATAAGCTAGTGATTCCCTTGAAAAGTGCCACACTGTTGGTATACACAGAATATGACAAGACAAGACACTAAACTCATGTTTTGTGTCATTCTTTGGCAGTCATTGATTTCAGTTCATCACTGTCCTTGTTTTAGTGACCCTGTTGTGCTGCAGTCCTCGTTCCTCCAGTTGTTGTGGGCTGCACCCAGGAAAACGCCCTGGTCATTGCGGAGAAAATTGCCGCACAGGCAGGTTTTTTGGGTTCGATTGGATGGCCATGTCTGAAGCTTCCAGTCTTTGGGACTCCAAACACATAGATGACATTAGATGACATAGATGACATAGATATTGATATGGAGAAGCCACCATTGATGATTTTCCTTGGGTTTGGTGGCAGGTGTCGGTGTCCGAAGATGTCCACGTCCTGGACAAGGAGTTGCTAAGCCAGGAGATCAAAGAGATTTTGAGGCGCGGTCGAAAACAACGGGGTAGTGTACCCCTGTTTGAGACCGTCATATTTTCTTAGCATGGCTAAGGAATTTGCTTCTATGTTTTTTTTTTGAATCCAAAGTTGAAACCATGCCATTTTCTCTCTTAAAGGTTGGTTTTCGTATGATGGGGATGGGTCCAAGGCTGGCTGGGTATCCTCAACACCCTGGACCACTGGAGACTTTGTTACTGGAAATGAAGGTCACTTATCTCTGGTTCTTAGAGCCTGTTTTTGTTGTCAGCCCGGATTGTGAACCCTTTGCTTTTTTGACAGGTGCGTTTCTGTACTTGGATATTCCACTGGTAGCTATTGTGATCACGCATGTTTCTTACACGATTTAGTGGGTGATCAAAAGATAGAAAAACATGATAGGCGTCACCGAGTACGCACGATGCCGGTTGCCCTAGCAAAAAACTGATAGCCTCATGGCCTCATGTTTGTTTTAAAACCACTCTTGGCTCATTGTTTTTCCGATGGCATTTTGGTCGTACCCCGGGAGGTTCCGGTTCCAGCTTTCCATGGAGGGTTGATCCAAGATGCCATCGGGCCATTGGGTGCAGGCTCTTCAGATGCTTTGGGAACATGCCAACGAAGGCGGAGCATGGGAGCAACCCAATTTTCGTTTCAGCTCCCTGAAAACAATCCTTTTTCTGTGTAGATGATGTTGATATATGTTGATCATATTTCAAGTCCACATGTTATCATTCATCATTCATCATTCATCAGTCATTGATCAGTAATGTTTTATGCTTCATGTTTCATGATTCATGATTCATGGTTCATGGTTCATGATTCTTGATTATTGATTCTTGATTCACCAGCACCAGCACCACCAGTATCAGCATCAGCATCAGCATCAGCATCAGCATCAGCATCGGCATCACCGGCACCATCGGCATCATCATCATCATCATCAACAACATCATCATCAACATCAACATCATCAACATCAACATCAAATCCCATTACTGTATATAATCATTATTTCTTCAAAATCCATATCGTGGAATGATAGTGACGTGATGATGGTGCAACTAGACTGGACTGGTCCCGGCCAGGGATATCGAGGGAAGCTTTTCATGAGTGATGAGTCCTGGAGTAGCATATTGAAGGCGGGGAAGGGATGGAACTGGGCTGGATGGAACTGGCTTGGTCTACCAGAAATTCAGACAGAAACAATTCATATACATGATCTGATGATTCAAGCTGGACTTCGTCAATCTCATAGAATTGGATGATGGGAACCTGTGCAGGAAGACCGGAAGACCGCATCTTTCCTTGTAAAAACCATGGTTTCAACGTTTCAATATTCAACCGTAGATTCCCAGCCATTGACAGTCCCTGGTTATGCCTGCAGCCCTGAGGATGGCGATCTGATTGCCTTGCACCAGAGTCTGCAGGAGGCAAGGATGGATTTGGATCGATTCTATGGGTTGAACCCTCTGGTGCCCCAAACCTCTGAAAAAATGATGAGTCAGTGATAGGCAACGCAGAAACAACGACCTCAAATGCGCGCGTTCTTCTGGTTCCCTCATTTTCGGTGGCTACGTTTCAAGCGCTTCTGAAAGATGTGACATGTGACATCTTGTGGAACCGTGTGCCTATATAAAAGGAATGTTGAAATGCTGTTTTCTGTGAATTCCGGGGATCCTCCAATCCTGCATTCATGGAGACCATGGACTTGACTAGTCCACTCTTGCCGGGTTCCATTTTTTGGGTTCCATTTTTTCAAACGCAGGAACATATATTATTATATATTATATACAATATATTTATGTTTTGGTATCTATCTGTCTATCCATCTACCTATGCAATCTCTTATGTAACCTATCTATCTCTCGATCGATCCATCGATCCATTGATCCATCGATCAATCCATCCATCTACCACGTTTCTGGGTTTTGGTTATGCATCAATTTTTCTTTCAATCTTCTTTGTGTCCTGAAAACACCAATCCTAATCTTTTGGTCACCGCGGTCGCGAGGTGATGACCATTCGACCTCTGCGGCTCTGCATGATGCAGAGGCACCGCTGAAACCGACATAAAAGAGGAAGTATATAGTGAAATAATAGGTATACATAGGTATAGGTATAATAGGAATACATAGGTGTATGTATATTATTGTATATGTATGTTTTTCTGATTGTTTATGTACGTGTCTGTCTATGTATATATGTTCATGCATATGTTTATGTAATGGCAATATGATATGTAATCAATAAGGAATATGTAATATATAATGACATGTAATTATATGTATATAATATCGAACACGAAATACCTAATATGCAATTTGCAATATGTACAATATATATATATATGCATATATAGGTATGTACACACATGCGTCGAGGGACAGTGGATTCTCATGGCCTCCCAACCTCCGCAAGGCTCCACTTGGAGGGTGTCTGCCATCGTCCGAAACGCAGCGGGTCAGCTGGGTGGGCCGCGAATCAAATCGCCCGTCACCACAAAGGTGCAGGAAGTGGATCACTTCGGTTGTAAATTGTGACACAGATTTCAACTGATAATTATACTCTACGGGAAGCTGACAAAGTTAGGATTCCAAAATCAGTAGATTGAGTCATTCTTGAGCTACTGTTGATTTCATCGCAGCACCGGTTCTATCACTATACATATGTATACGATGTATTCATGGACCGACTGCGGCCCTGGCGTCCCAAGCTCACCACCCAAGGTCTTTCAGAGCATGCAGCACGGACCTCGAGGAGGTTGGACACTTTTTCTGAATCCAGGAAAATCAGGAAAGTAGATTAAAAATGTGATGATGTTTTGGAGTCTATTTTTTTCCTATTTTTGCGGCCATTTGTTTTTTGATGGGTATGAGGATATTAGGACAGTACACCTTGATTGACGAGTTTGCAGTGTAAGACATCCAAGTTTGTGGCACATATTTTTTCCCAGACCCATAGGATGAGAGCAAAGCCAAAATGTGGCCAATGACAGCACTGGGGATACAGGTGTCTCTGACAGGCGCCCTCAAACAAATCCAAAATGATCCATCTTTGAAATGAACCCACAAACAGACCCTTCAACTGTGCCAAACGCATATCCAAAGTTGGAATCATCATTGGGATGGTTCAAGAGAACATCTACACGAGAGCAGGTTTTTTAAGCATCAAGGCAGTTTCTGGGCAGGAAAGAACGCAAATGATGACGTGGGGTTCTGTTTTGTATTCATTCTCTGAGCGCCATTAAAAATGCCTTCCATCCGGTAGCCAATTACTCCATTTTTTGGAGTGGGAAACCTTTGGATGAAGTCGTGGTCCAGGGTCACTATTGGTCACTTTTTTTTTGCGGCCACAGAGCCACTTAGATCAAGAGCCGCCCAGAGCCGCATATTACCGCATAGCACCGCACGGCACCTCCATAGCAGGGCGTAGCACCCAATAGCATTGAATAGAGCCGCACAGAGTCGCATATGCATAGGGCCACCACACCCGCGGTTCCAATGTCGCTGCAGGGAAAGATGCGTGTCCATCGACGTTCCAAGCAACCAGCCAGCGCTACGATGCCCTACGCAGAGCTACGCAACCCTACACCGTGCCACCCTAAACGGCTACGCACAGCGCTATGCGGTGCTACACAGTCCCACCCCAAACAGCTGCACACAGCGCGACCGATTTTTCGACCCCCAATATTGCTGATACTGCGCTATTAAGACCCAGGTATATCATATGGTTTTGTGGATCGTGTATGGGTTATGATTCACTATTTACTATGGGAGTCACATCCGTCCTGGCAGGGTGGACCCAGATCTGTCACTGCCCTTGGTGTCGCGATCGGCAGCAGCTCCGGCTGCAATGGGGGGCAGGGTTGGTTGCGGGAAGCTCCAATGGGGAATGGTGAGGTAAGCAGGTGGAATATGCCAAGGCCAATATGGGTTGTTCTCAATTTCCGAGGAAAACCGGAAAGCCCAAAATCCCATGGTTTATTAACGTTTCTTTATTGAAAGAGCCATAGCTGGGAGTATTCCAAAATTGTTTGGAGATAGCGGCCATTGGCTCCGTATATATGTCGATTGGGCCCTTTGGTGCCACAAGGAAAGTATAAAGGGGATGCCTCGCAGACGGTAAGGGTCGAGGCCTAGGCACCCCCAAGATATGATCCTTCTGTTGGTGTAATCTCTTTATGTCGGCAAACATAGTGAAATCCTCGTTTTTTTGTTCAAATCCTTCGTGTTGATGGTTCAAATATGTTCAAATTCACCACTTGTTGCTTATGTCCTTTTTTCCTCGAGAAAATTTCTCATTTCGGTCTTCGAAAATTGGGTTTTTCGTTCGCTTATATAAATCTTTATCGCTGTTGATAGAACCACAACATTTTTGGTGGGTGAACCTGCACTTGTGTGTGTGTGTGTCTGTCAAATCCCCGTTTTTTATGATATACTGTAAATGATTGGACATCTTGAATTCCTGTTTGTTTTCCCATTTTTTGGGGCTGGAATGATTTTACACAGTGATTTGGTGAAGAACTCATGATAATTTTGCGGTTACAGTAACAATTCATATAAAATTATTAAACACTAATTTGTTAGTCAACTCCCCGTATTTTCGTTGGTGCCACGCGCCACCGGACCGCTTTTAGGACCTATTCGGCCCCCGTTGTCGGCCACGACAAATGGCGCGGCGCGCATGGGGCGATGCGCCGGCGAATTTGGAGGTGGATCAACAGCTGCAAGGCGTGCGGTTTCGAGGGCCATGGCATGGCAGAAACCGTTTCAAATCTGATGAAACAGGAACAAATTGGTAAAATATCCTGAACATTCCGAGGGGCAAATTTCGGAATGGAAGTGATCTATTTGGGGGCTTCGTATGTTTTTTTTTTGGTGTGAGAGAGAGAAAGAGTGATCAACGGGGGTTACAATGAAATCAATTCATTTATACATGATGTATCATGATGTTATGGTCATCAAATCGGATTCACCAGACTGGTAGCTTTAATCAACTCCTAGGGAAGGGTAATGGGTCATATTGGGTCATATTGGGTCATTATATACCCTCTTATATTTGGCTGTCGTGCACATCATTGTGGGCAAGCAGGTGGGTAGATGGAAATCTGCAGGGTTGACACTCAACTTACTAAACATGACCAGTCAAGAGATACGAGTGGCCAGAGTTTCCAGACATTCAAACTTGGTAGGTAGTGAGTAGATCTACATCTTTCATCATCTTTCATCATCTTTCTCTACATGCGTGTATCTAAGTACATATACACGTGTAATTACGAAAGCCAGCTAGCTGGCTAGTTGCTGTTTGCGAACGAAGTGAGAATAGGGGGTGTGGGGGGGGTGGTTGCCGAAAGGGAACGAAATCTTGCCGTGCCCCTGTGTTGAGCGCCAGAAAACGGAGCATTTTGCTGGATTAAGTACCACTAGGCAATTTGCTGACGGTGGGGTATCGATTCCCCCTAGGTCTGCCTTTTTGGTGGCCGGAAAGACCATGAGGATGTATTGGAAAATACAATGAAACTGCAGGAGAACATGATAACGATCAGAGGAAATCGTACAAAATCCCCTGGAAAACGGACGAAAACGGAGCGAATGCGAGGAACAAACCATGGAAAATCCCTTGGAAAATGGAGGAAACCGGAGCGAATGCTAGGCGCAAACCATGACGATGCAGTAAACATGCTGGAAAAATACAGTGAAAGTGCAGGAAAATGTGATAACAACGAGAGGAAATGGTGCAAAAAGGATCGGAAAATGAAGGAGACAGGTAAAACTCTTGGATTAATATTAATATTGAAAAGGTATGAAAATGCAGGAAACCAGAGGAAATGGTGCAAAAACCTATGGAGGAAAGAGGTGAAAATGATAGGAAACATGTAGTAAAAAAATGCTGGACAAAACATATTGAAAACCCACGAAGAGGATGTATTGGAAAATACAATGAAACTTGAGCAAAACATGATAACGATCAGAGGAAAATGCTAGGAACAAGCCATGCAAAATCTGTTGGAACATGGAGGAAACCGGAGTGACTGCTAGGAACAAACTATGACGATGCAGTAAACATGTTGGAAAAAGACAGTGAAAGTGCAGGAAAATGCGATAACAACCAGAGGAAATGGTGCAAAAACCATCGGAAAAATCAAGGAGACGGGTAAAACTCTTGGAAAAATACATTGAAAATGCAGCAAACCAGAGGAAATGGTGCAAAAAGGAGACGGGTAAAAATCTTGGAAAAATAGATTAAAAATGCATGAATAGACTGAAAACCCACGAAGAGGATATAGATGATATAGAAACTGCAGGAAAACATGATAACAATCAGAGGAAATCGTGCAAAATCCACTGGAAAATGCTGGAAAGATACAGTGAAGGAAAATGTGATAACAACCTGGCAGGAAAATGTGATAACAACCAGAATAAAGGGTGCAAAATCTGTTGGAACATGGAGGAAACCGGAGCGACTGCTAGGAACAAACTATGACGATGCAGTAAACATGCTGGAAAAATACAGTGAAAGTGCAGGAAAATGCGATAACAACCAGAGGAAATGGTGCAAAAACGATCGGAAACTGAAGGAGACGGGTAAAACTCTTGGAAAAATATATTGAAAATGCATGAAATGCAGGAAACGAGAGGAAATGGTACAAAAAGCCATAGAGGAAAGCGGTGAAAATGGTAGGAAGCATGTAATAAAAAAAGCTGGACAAAACACAGTGAAAACCTACAAAAGAGAAGAAAGTAACCACAGGAAACGGTAGAAAAAACAGTGGAAACTGGAAGAAAAGTTGTGACAATATTAGGAAAACGGTGTACAAGCTAGGAAATGCTTGTAACAACTAGAGGAAACGATGTAGAAAACAGTACAACATGGAGGACACGCGTGAACATGCTAGGAGGCATGTAACATGTTAGAAAAATACAGTGAAAACCTAGGAAAATGTTATATCTAAAAATGCTTTAAAAATATAGTGAAAACCAAGACAATGTTAACGAGCGGAAACGTTGAGCAGGAAATCCGATTTGGTTTCTGTAGATAATGTTAGATGATGAGCAATGTAGTTTGGTGATAGGAAATAGTGGCTGACTCGCGTACAAGACATTGCCATGAAACCTTGGAGCAAGATGCGGATGGTATAGGAAAAAAGATGTATGAGTTGTAAGATTTTAGGAGTTGCATGGGAAAATTGGTTTCATGGTAATCTGTGTGAAGTTAGAAAAGTGTGATTTCGTTCACAGAGTAAGAAAAATAAATACAATCTGCAGATTAGAGTATTTATAATGCTTAAAACTGTTTGACGTTTTTTGGTGCCTCCCTGATTCTGGTAGTTTTGTGATAAGAACTACAAAAACGATCTACTGGTAAACGGAAGGAATAGTCTTTCCGGTTTAGAACTGAGTCGACTGTCAAGTGATGCATAGGCTCCAGGCCTCTGGTTATTGTCACAAAGCATTGGAATGAAGATTGCGCCCAGGAGCCACCTAGGTTAGGAGACAAATGCTGTAATATCATTGTAAGAGGCCGTACTGAGAAGGCTGAAACGGAACTAAAAGTGAATCTTGTACTAAAACATCGAGAAAGAATTTGAATCTTCTAATGGCAATGACGGGAATGATATGCATCTGTACGTCCGTGATAGTATGTGTGCCTTTCAAAAGGGATGTTTGGCGAGTGGGATAGCTGAGAAGATTTTCCGGGATGCCAAACAATTATCTCTATCGATGTCAGGGATGATGCTATTCGGCGACATTTCCTGTAAAATACCAATTTTCCAGACCCTTGGGGGGTGTGGGGGGGTACCCAGGTCTGTAAATGGCCTAAATATATATACTTTTGATTTGGACTGCATGTTCGCCACTGTTCTATGTTTCCCGTGGGTTTTGCATTGTTTTCCTCGATTTTCATTCGTTCTTATACCCTTTCTTACGTATGTTATAATATTGTCTTGGGTTTGCACTGCCCATTTTGCGAGTAGAGCTATATTTGATTTCTCACCGTACGGCCAAAATGTTGCGGAACTTCGCGGAGAAGCATGGACCACGATTCTGGGGAGAAAACAATTTAGACTTTGAGAGGTCACATGACCACTGTTCACACAAAAAAGCGGGTATTATTTATCTACAATAGGTGGGAGCAAACTTGCGCTGTTTTAAGATAAATGAGCAACCAAAGGCGGATTTACGGAACTTGAGATAGAACTTTTCACAATGCCGCAGTACATTGTAGGAAACATATTTGGATATAGAAGTTACAAAATCGTGGAGTTTACCCTAATGATTGGAAAATTATGACCCAATAGCAATTGTTGATGTTGGGGCGCTTCATGTTTGAGCCATGCCATATGGATGAGGTGGAGTTTCACGCGCCCCCGCGCGAGTCAAAAAGCAAGCGCTGGCTTTCGTTCCACCCCTTCTCAGGTTATGTTATATACATATTATTACATGTATATCCCACCTGTTGCCTTTGTTCTGCTGCGTTGGACAAAACATGGTTTTGGCAGGAAACGAAACGAAACGGCGCCAAGTTGCGCTAAAACGGCGCAACATGGAGCAACATTCTGGCGGAAAGCTGGAGACATTCCGGAGCTGTTGGATCACCAGCGCCGTGCAGCCGCGTAGCCGCGCAGGTACATGGTACTACGAGCCCAACGGATGTCACCTGGCTGAAGATACGGCGCTGCAAATAGATTGGTCACCCGGGATACCCCAAAATGGATGGTTTATCATGGAAACCTCAATGTGTCATATTGAAGTTCTTGTGCATACATGGCTTGGTCGAACGCAGTTTTCTTTTTAAAGCTTCGCTTTCATTGTGGCGAACCTGTCCAGTGCGGCAAGTTGGGGTGAGGTTCAAGGACAGCAGGACAAAGAGACCACGAGGGTGTCAGAGGCTTCACTTCATCAAGAGAGACTTTCTGTTTCGTTTCAGATCTCATTTTATTGTAGTGGTCAGTGTGACCATGCCTTTGACGAGTATCTAACAGCGTGAGACACCCATTGTCGGCTCCACTTGCCCAAAAACAGAATGTTGGGCTCATGTCGTGGCAACAGACAATCGCAATACGCACCCGGCCAAGTTCCCAGGCTTTCATATCAAGTTCCAGGATGGGCCACTTGTTGCTGGGAAGGTTCCATTGGGAATGGATGACCCTGGGTAAGCCGCAATCCCTCCAATTTTTGGGGTTATGGCATGTTCTGGTCATTTTTGGATTCCATGTTAGTTTTCAGGGGTGCATAAAAATTGCATTTTTGAACTTTCTGTTTCAAGAGCTGGAAAGCCATCATGGGTGGCGGGGTCCCACATTTTTTTTTGGGCACAAGCTCAAAACTTCTTTCCCCTGAAGTGACAAAGTGAAATGAGCAAACCGGCGAGGGATTTTTTCTGCTGACGTAAGGTTCACTTGCGGATTGCATATCGCTTGGGAAAAATCATGTCAACAATGCTAGTTTTTGAAAACAAAATGTGTTGCTGGCAGTCTTGTGATTGCACAGTATTGTGGGGTACATGAGTTGCATAGGGATTGATGTGGTTTAGTTCTCCATCTTTTTTTTTCCTGGAACCAACTGGCACCATCCCGTCCCTGCCGCTCTAAGGATGTTGTACTTCGAGGAACAGGTCGAAAGTTGCTGCTACGGTGGCACCTTGCAGCCCGAAGGCGTGCACTTCAGTGCGCAGCTCTTCTCCGAGGACGTGTTGCAAGGTGGAGATGGGGCCATGGGATACCCTGGCCTGGTATTCCAACCACATAGCTTCCTGTATATATATATATAATTATAATGGATTATATATATATACATGTATATGTATATTGGTTGGAGGCATATGATGATCAATGATTGTCATATGTGAGATCATGGGCCTCGCTTCGACAACGAACCCTTATATCTACAACATGTCTAATCGATTTTCGCTGTTTGGAGTTTTGCGGGCAGCTGCCATGTGTCCAACAATGCTTTGTTTCTTCGCTCAGGGATTGTGGACCTACACGATATGTAGGTAAATATATGGAAATATCGCGTGATCGTCTATGTTAGTTTATCTTGTCAGATGTTTTGAAGCCACAGATCGTGGGAATTTCCACCTTTCAACGCGCATGCAATGGCTCTGATGGACAGGCACCATGCGAATGCGCCGGGTGGGCGAGTACCTGATTGCCAATTTCAGGTGGGGTGATCAGTCTGATCAGTGACCCCAGGTCTTTTAATTGGTACTTAAGGACTTTATATTACCCAGCTATACCCAGCTGATATCTGGAGGTTCATCCAGCTGGGCACTGGGCCATTCGACATCAGCCGACCAGCCGACCGGAGGGAAAGCTCTGAAGATCCTTGGAGCCCGGACATCCTGGCACATCAGATGCGTTCCTTGGAGATTGACAGATGGCACTAAGTGGTACCATGTGGTACCTCTTGGATAACCATGGGATAACCATGGGATAACAAGGAGGATACCAAGAATGGGATTTTTTTTAGACCAAGAATTCCAAGAATGCTACTTGGGTGTGTCATTTTGTGTGTTTGAACATGATTTAAGTATACCCCCCAGTTATGGTAATTTTAGATTGGGGAAACTATGATGATCAACCATGAAATTTGATGAATTTTGTGGGCATCCTATTTTAAGAACCCTGATGGGCCTGATGGGTTTCAACATGTTTCAATCCTTTTTTGGTTGGTCTGAAAACCCGTGTCCTCGTTTTCTGGGTTTGGGCCCACCAAATCTTGGAGTAGTTTGGGCCCACGGGACGACCCAAGTTGTGATTCACTTTCACCCGAGTTTCTGAGGGCCTCATTCCCAATGCTCTTCTACTTTCGTCCAGGCCTCATACATGAATAATCCATGAAGAAATTCATGAATCCACATACACACACGTATATATATATATATATGTATATATATATATATATACAGTATATACGTATACTTACATACATAGTGTACGTTGATAAGCAAAACCACCAACAACCTTTTCAATGGACACGCTCTGTCTAGGAGCCCAGCCCCGGGTTTTGACCTTCATGTGGGTTGAGGTCTTGCACATATTTGGTTCAATGAAGTGTGCAGACGATTTGCCTGGTGTGAAACCGTGTGTGGACATATCTCAGAAAGTCACTGTTGATCGCCGAAATTCACCAGAAACTCGGGATGAAGATGGTATAGCTGCTGTATTGAATCTATATGTTTTGATGATTGGTCTGACATGAGCCTGGTGGATCCCCGAATATCAAATGCCACCTCAAAATTCCTTTGGTGCCACATCAGGGCATTTTATACTACGTGTAGGGAATAGAATTGATTCATATATCCACTTCTGTTTTGTTGAATTTAGAACTGTTGGTGAAATCTCAAGGTTCACTTACCATTGAGGCAATGGGCTCTACTTGTTGGTGAAATGCGCATTTTGATCACATGCCTAGTTTTGCACAGAAAATACCATTTTCCCCAAACAGTGTGGCCACACTTGGGGTTCTTACGGTGGGGGTTAAGGCTGGGTGTTCATTCAAGGTGGTCTCATCCGTGTCCGGCAAATTTGGTGATCCTTACAGCACAAAAGCTCCTTCCTCTTCCGTTTTTGGCAGAAGTCTCGCACGAAACGGTTGCCCGGAGACTTCTCGCGCAACCCTTTCGTCACTTTGGGCCTGTCAGATCGCTCTCGTTGTGGCGCGGGGCTCATTTTGAGATCGCTCGCGTAACCCTCTCGGCACTTTGGGCCTGTCAGGTCGTTCTCGTTGTGGCGCGGTGCTCATTTTGAGATCCCTCGTCGCGCTACCCTCTCGGCACTTTGGGCGCGTCGGCTCGCTCTCGTTGTGATGCGGTGCTGATTCCAAGTAAGATGTCTGTTCAAGCGCTCAATAAAAGAGCATGAGCAAGATCTCTGTTCTCTTCACCAGGTCTCCGTACAACATCTGTAAAAGGGGTCTTCTTGCAAGATCTCTGTACAAGCTACCTATAAGAGGTCTCTTGAGAAGATCTGTCTCAGAGAGCTCTGCACAAGCTCTCTGTAAGAGCGCTCTTGGCAAGAGTTCGGTAAGAGACCTCTTAGCAAGATCCCTGTACAAAATCTCTAAAAGAGGTCTCTTGGCAAGATCTCTGTACAAGCTCCCTATGAAGTGTCGTGGCAAGATCCCTTGAAGAGATCTCCGTAGAAGTTCGATAAAAGCTCTCTTGGCACGATCTCTGTCAGGGACCTCTTGGCAAGATCTCTCAACAAGATCTCTACAAAAGCTCTCTGTGCAAGATCTCTATAAGAGGTCTCCGTGGCAAGATCTCTGCGCAAGCTCTCTATAAAAAAACCTCCTTGTCCTTGTCAAGATCTCTGCGCTCTGCACAAGATCTACAAAAATCTCCTCCTATAGACACCTTGTACAGATAGAACTTCTGCAGAGAACTTGTGAAGAAAATATTGCGCGCAATTTTCTGCAGAGATCTTCGCAAAGGGAACTTGCAGAATCTAACCTGGTATCTCTCCTTCCAGAGACCACCTTGAGAATGAATACCATGTTTTCGCTACTGGGATCGCTCTCGTCCTGCTAGCTTGGAACCACTGATAATTTTGAGTCCTTCCAACCTTGCCTTTTGAATCCTAACTGCACACTGTTTGGGGTCTGTTGCCGGGATGATTTTGGGAGTCACTTCCAAGGTCGGGAGAGCACCAACTCAAGCCGTTCGGGTCGTGGTCCACTGAAGCTTGAGATGCAGGCAGGGTGGGACGGGTGCGGGCAGGGCGGAAGCCAGGGATTTTCCATTTTTTTTGGAAACGCATCGGTTTTTTTTGTGACAATATCGCAAGGTTCCTAGCGGTTGAACCAGACAGGACATTCTTTTGAGAGCCTGGATATTGAGAAAAATAATGGATGAATGTTTCGGGCACACAGACCGTGAATCGGCGTTTTTCTCCATCTAAATGGAATTATAAATACCTTGAGTGGGATTGACATGGGTTTTCCATGTCAGTTGGATGGGGTGAGAAATGCCCACTACTTGAAAGGATGCCCCTGATGGTAGGGATCCTAGCAGATATGTAACCCATCCCAAGCAACATGACTTCCAGGAGAAGCGAAGCCGGAATTTCTCTAATTTCTCCGCCGCATTCTTCGAGCCTAAAGGAACAGAGGCAACGACGATCCGGGGACATGAGGCAGCTGCGACTTATGAAAACTTTAAGTTCTGAGCCGGTCTTCTTTCTTTGGGGGTACTGTACCAACACTGGGATTGAACCACCCCATTTGATGGGTGTACAATGATCATTACTGGGTGGTTTGAGGGATGAGCCTCCCCTGGGCTCATAATGTGCATGTTTCGGACCGGCAGGGGATGGTCCTGCTGAACGCGTGTGAAACATGCCAATTCCCGGTTCCTAGGCAACTAAGGATTTCATCCACCTTCATGCCTATACAATATTATACAATTTTCTTATCGAATCTGATATGAGTCATTTGCTCAAATTGGATTGTTGAAGATGAAAAGGGGGTCACTTTGTGAGGCCATTGGTAGTGCATCACAGATTTGCGCGAATGTCATGAGCAATTCAGTCCCTTATCAACAAGGATCCATTGGTTAGTGATGGATTTATTCAATTTGGGCGCCATTTAGGGGGTTCATCACTAGGGAAATGGGATAAACTTAAAATTTTCTTTTTGATGATTGAATTTACATATTTGATGCTTAGGTCCCCAAACTTGGATAGTTGAATAAATTAAATGCCAATCTTCTATTGTCAAAGCATACATACATACATACATACATACATACATACATACATACATACATACATACATACATACATACATACATACATACATACATACATACATACATACATACATACATACATACACATACATACATACATACATACATACATACATACATACATACATACATACATACATACATACATACATACATACATACATACATACATACATACATACATACATACATACATACATACATACATACATACATACATACATACATACATACATACATACATACATACATACATACATACATACATACATACATACATACATACATACATACATACATACATAAACACACACATACATACATACATATATATATATATGGTACCTACAGTACATATAACATCATATAGTTATATAGTTAAATCAAGTCAGTTTTTTTTTTGCGTGTCAAATCTCAACATTTTGCCGGTTGAATCTGAGTTGAAACCACACTTCTGAAAGGAGCTGACCGCGCTGCGGGGCCCTGAGCCTGATGCAGGCCGGGGCTTTGGAACGCTGACTGGGGATTTGACCAACCATTGGAGTCGTGGTAGAAGTGTGGGAATGGCAATTTGACCATGCACAAAGCTAGGTTCAAGATAGGTGGTAGAGGCCTTAAGTAAGATCCAAACATGTCTGGTACGTACGGCTGGTAGGTTTGGTTTTCTTGGTACGGTACGGTTGGTACATGTGGTACTCTACGGTTGGTACGGTTGGTACGCTTAGTAAGGTACGTTTGGTACATCCAAAACGCCCCCCCCTTGACCCCCCCCTTAATCTGGTACGGTACGGTGGTACGGTTATGTACGGTTCACTGGTACGGTCGGTACGGTCGGTACGGTTGGTAAGCGTACCAAACGTACCTTACCAAGCGTACCAAGCGTACCTACCCAAAGCGTACCAAGCGTACCAAGCGCACCAAGCGCACCAAGCGTAGCGTACCTATCTTATAGCTGGATATCAAGCACCTATCTTGAACTTAGATAACACAAAGTAATTCAAATGATTTAAGCACTTTCAAGCAGCAAACGTGTGGATTTGACTATTTTAAGTCTGGATTTTTACCAGCAAAGAGAGGCATTTTGTCGCACATCGGGGTAGATCCAAGTCACAAGACCCTTTGATCTGCTGACAGTAGGGCTGAGAATAAAGCCTCGACACGACAGGGCCCAGAATCCCTGGTGCAAGTTGATGGTGTTGATGGTTTTGATGATGACGACTACAACACGTATGATGTTAACCATCAATAGTCTGATCCCTTTACTGATATCTGGAAATCGACCATCTTCCGACCGATTCTTGGTTCATTTTGGTTCTATTTCCATCTTGATTTGCATCTGGGCCGAACTCATTGGTCATCCAAAATTGAACGGGGTTTCACGGACAATCCTGAAAATGACAAAAACAAATTGTCAACCTGGGCCCCGAAACCATTGACCCATAAATCTTTTTTTGTTCCCTACCTAGGACGAACGGGGCCCCAATTGCCCCATATTTTTTTCGTTTTGGTCGAACACTCTGGCCCAGTATTGTTGATATTCTCCCTCATGACACCTATCATTGTGATGGTTAGATCCCAGTAACGCATGGGTGTACACACACACATATATATATATATACATACATACGCGCATCTTATCTTCAGGCACTCATCTGTATTCAAGTGGCTCAAATCGATATCCATATGGATATACAGATAAGATAAGATCAGGTAAGATACGATAAGATCAGAATATATGTATGTATGTATATATATATATATATATAAATACATCAGATTAGATCAAATCAGATCAGATCAGGTCAGATCAGATCAAATCAGACAAGAGTAGACGGATACATAGAGTCAATGTATGTGCGTATGTATACATTACATGAAACACTTGCACTCCCACATATAAATATATCCCTCTCATCATCTTTGTATACACACATATTCTACATATAAATTTCATGTATGATATATATATATATAATATTTATGTACACAAATATTATTGTATGTATGTACCATATATGTAAATATATATATACATATAATATATATACCGATATACCGATATATATATATATACCGATATTTATACATATACATATACATATACATATACATATATACACATACATATATATATATACATATATATATATATACATATACATATATATATACATACATATACATATATATATATACATATATACATATATACATACATATATATATACATATATATATATACATACATATATATATATATACATATATATATATTTACATATTTACATATATATATATAGATACACACACATATATATACACATATACATATATATATATATATAGACTTGAGGACCCGCACTTAGAATATTAAGTCAATCAATTTCCAGCCAAAAAAATTAGCCGCGGGCTCCCTGCTGGGAATATTCTAAGTGCAAGCGTGGATTCGCAGATAGAATATAAATATATATATGATATATTCCATGGATAATGATCTTGAGAATATTCTAAGGGCATCAAACTTGTGAAACACTTCCAACTTTTTTCGCAAGACAACCCCTGGTTTGAGACCCCAGAATATTCTAAGTGCATTTTCTTTCATATGCATGCATGTACTCGATGCACATGATATATCCATATATATATTATATTCCTATATGCAAACACTGTGCTATTCTTAAGGTAATTAGGTATTTAGAGCACATATACACATACAACCATACTACATGCAGGAATATTCTAAGTGCAAGGAATTTGTGAAACACTTGTGATTTGTTGCAATTGGGCTGATTGGGTTCATATTCTGTCATCAGCAAGGTATCCAATTGAATCAATAATGGTGTTTATATATATATACACATACGTATACATATGTACATGATTGTTTTATCATGTTTACATGTACAAAGCATCCCCATTGCACATAGGAACATATGCAGTTATTATTCTATGTGCACCGATTTTGTGAAACAGTCCTAAATTTCTATTAAAAACATGTTTTATTTATAGTTATGTTATATATGTGCAAAAATGGAATATTCTAAGTGCACTGGTTTTTGCCCCGGGGACATATGGTTTTAAGGCTATTCTAACTGCATAGTCAATGAAATTGGATATTCTATGTGCTAGTCCGTAAGTATATATATATACACATATTTACATATATATATATATACACATACATATATATACACATATATATATATGTGTGTGTGTGTGTTGATGTTGACCCGGAATCCTGGCAATCGCTTGCAGGTGAACCACCCACCCTGGAAGAGCTGCGGCTGCGCGAGATCTTTGATGCCTACGCGCGGGAGATGGGGGGACCACGTCATGCGGATTCAACCAACCCACCCAACGCTGACCCCCCTAACGGAGGCTTATGTAGGGCTTATCAACCATTAACAGCAAGCGATAAGGGCTAATTGACCATCAGTGATTGGGGGTTTATACTTTGTGGGGTTTTACCATCGATTTGGGGATTTAACCAATGAATTGTTGATATGGGTATAAGGAAGATCTGAGACATGGGTCTCCCCCAAGACAGCGGATAGGCCACTTTCTCTGGCCCTCATTTTTTGGCCCGATGAATAGGGAAGACGATTGTAAACCATGGGATTTCCGGGTTCCAAATCTTGAGACAGCCCCGTATCCTGGGTTGGTTCTTATCGTTTAATATGAGTTCAGAACTACCACACATTGGGGACTGAAACCTGATTGCTGCAACGCACTGCAGAAACTCAAATGGTTCCGTCAATTTCCTCGCACGAAACCATGGAAGAAAGAGTTAAACCAGACTCCTCAGATCCTAAAATCCCCAAAGCACTAACCCGAAAACTCCCGCATTGAAACTCGAACCCTAAGACTTAAACTTCCAACCTTGAAACCTTGGATCCTAACATGCCGTGTTTTCCATGGGAAATAAACGTGACGAGATGTGGACATCCTTGATTGAGTATCTATATCTTTGGGTGGGTGAACCAGGGGGTTGCAGGGAACTTATAGAATAGATATGATGTGATGGTTTATTTAAACTGAAAAACTGGGGATCGTGAACTGCACACTGTGGGTTTCATCAGCAATGGGCGTTACACCCATTATACCGTTGGTTTACTAATCCATCAAGTGGGAGTGTGCAGTTTGGTTGAGGATGTCACGAGTTTTCTGACACTTGGATCTGCACCCCAATTAATAAGTGGGTAATCATATGAAATCACCGACCCCAGTTGAAAATATGGGTGATGGACCACTTCGGCTGGGCCCCACCAGGAGAACCACGGCTACCTGGACCTGCAGGGTTTTCGTCGCCTCTGCTTTGATCTGGGACACCCGGTGCAATCGGAGGAGAGCGCGCAAGCGATGGCGCGGCTGGATGCGATGCTCGATGGAGATGGAAGTTCTAGTACCTCACGGTTTACAAAAAAGGCTGCCCGATGCTGTTACTTCACCTCCATTTTTTATTGTCAAGGCATACAGTAGTGAAACTCTGTAAGCTTGCGCTTGAAAGCTAAAAAATGATTAGGGTCTGTAGCATTTTCCACAAAACTCAGTGACAGCGGAGTTGTCGCAACGGCTCAACGGCCTTTGCGGGACCCGAGGAACCGTTCGGGGCATTGCAGCTTTGAAGAGTTCAAAGGCTGGTGGATGGCCCCCCCAGGCGCAGAATGAACAACGGCATGGTTAGGAAATGTTAGGACCACTCCTAAATCTATCACATGATCATTTGGTATTGACATGTTAGGAACACTCCCAAATGGTAAATTGTTGCTGGTTTAGGGGTTTACCACGTTGGCGGAATCCTTTCCAGAAGTGACCGGAGCTGAATCACAAAAACACAACCCATCTACCACCAGCTGGATGTGAGACACAGATGACAGGCTCGCACTTCTCCTTGCCCATCTTGGACTTTTTGAAATTCAGCAGCTTGGAGCCAGACATTTTCTTGGTGCTTCCATTTTTTTGCGTTTTTTCCCCGCCCAAAAAGTGGGATGATGATGATGCCCAGCGACTTATTTACCTGTGGGTTGCTCACAACCAGATTTAGAGTGCTGGTATGTCAAGCATTTAGGGAACTACGTAACTACGAATTTGAAGGAAGATATGAACGAACCGTTTCCAAACCATCACCAACTTTGGGACGTATCAGTTTTATGGCCGGGCAATCCCAAGAAGTATTCGGACGATGATCGCAGAGTTTCATGTGCTAAATGCGTGCCGAGCAAATTTTCTGAATTGCAGGATTGGCTTTGCAGACTCATCATCTCTGCCGAAATGGCAAAGTCATTTTCCAGCCCGTGTCATTTGGACAATCTGCTCGTTCTTCTTAGTTAAGTCATGTTAAGTCATTATTTTCAAGCTGCTCGCAAAATCCCATTTGTTTTTGGTAGCATCTCCCATTTCTCGACTTCCGTGTGGGTTTGTCGTGTTTGTCTGAAAATGGGGTACCCCCAACAGCTACTGATGACTCATCATTTTCCAAGTAAAAATTGACATACGGTGGTTTCCATAAATGGGGGTACCCCTAAATCATCCATTTTAATAGGATTTTCCCTTATAAATCATCCAGCTGTTGGGGTACCTCCCATGGAAAGATTGACATATGTCAAAATCAAATGGCTGATCCCATTTTCAGTATCCCATTCTCCAACGTTAAGGCCGGGAGGGCTTCTTCAGCCTTGGTCTAGCCTGGCCTCGGGTGGTGGATGAGGCTGGTTGACGGGTTACTTAACCGTCAAAAATGGTCATTGAGCCAACAAGAAGGTGGATTTTACCAAAGTTTGTGGATTTTACGAACAAGAATGTGGTTTTACCATCAAAAGTTGTGGGGATGTAGTTGAGAAACGATTGTTGATTAGTTGTGACATAGGGGTGTTATTAACCTGCCTGATTATAGGGGACTATGAACCAACCCATAGGGCCAAGGGATACCTATTGACCAACCAGTTTTTCATGGGATGGGATAGGGGTATCCATATGGTTCACTTGGGGTTGTTGGAATCAGCCCAAAAAACATCACTCTGGTGTGTCTAAAAATGGTTACGGTCAGTTAGTATACCCCCAATTGATGCAATTTTCTTAAAGAGGAAATGATGATTATCAGAGGATGGAATGGGGTACCCTATTTTCAGACGAACCCATATGGATTTTACATCAAGAATTGGGAGGTTAGTTCTGACCAATGTTTAAAATGCGAGATTTTGATTCGTAAAATAAGAGGATATCATCAACAAAGAATGGTGGTCAAGCAACGGACATGCGTGAACATACTGAACAAGAAATTCGGTTGAAAAACCAAAAGGAACAATGGATGTACTGAACAGACAGGGGATATGGCCTAACCAACAGTGGCCGAACACTCAACGCATGGTTGAGTTTTTTTTGCACGAGTGTCGTTATTAGGTATGATTAGGTATGTATATATGCAGATCCATTCTCATACCCGCGTTCTTACGCACCAGTTTTGTTGCAGATGTATATACATATATACACACATTTAATGTGTATGTACAGATGTGGGTATCTTCATTTACAAACAAAACCTATAGATATTATGATATACATATCCAGTTTTAGTCGTGTACAATGACATATTTGAATATATATATATATTATATATATATATATTATATATATATATTATATATTATATATATATTATATATATTATTATATATATTATTATTATTATATATATATATATATATACATAGAAAGTCCAATCTCTCCTTGGCGATCCACTTATTGCCGGCGGGCACCAGCCTGCCAGGCACGTTTGAGGGAAGTCTTCAACCACTTTGATCGTGACAAGAGCGGTCGGGTCGACTTGCAGGTGCGGGCCAGGGCAGATTCAATGCGGATTTCACCAACAAAATGTGGAATTTAACTCGCAAGAATGGGGATTTAACCAACAAATGCTGGTGATACAACAGAAGATAAATCAGTTAATACCCTCTTAAATCTCTTAAGACCCTCTGGTAATTTGTTACAGTTTGAACATCACCCTTTTTAAAGGTAAATCATCGAATTGGACCATGGCTTCGCAAAGTATGAAATTTCCGGAGGGTAAATGGTTTAGGATCCCAAATGGAGGAAACATGTACGCCTCACATGATGGCTTTGCCGGGATTTGATGGGGAAGATTTCATTTAGGGATGATGAGTAAATGCTGAACCACCGGGGAAATGATGATACATGACATGGGGAACATAATCTGAGTCTGAAACCAAGTGTACTGGGATACCATGGGAAATAGTGCTATTTTCAACACACAATATGACATAATACCCTTCAGCATTTGCTAACGTAGGTGTGGAAAGCCCTTGCTTTTGGAAAACGATATGCGGTAAGTAAATAAGCTTTCCTATAGCAACTTACTGGAGCACTGAAGGATCTTGCGATTACCCTCTGGCAAACAAAGACGAATGGCACATGAACATCTCCCACTTACGGATGGGGTATATAACGATATGGTATGTATATATATATATATGTATATATATACAATTTAAAGTATTATAAAGCCAGATAAAGTCACCATTTTATCGCATTTATACATTATTGTCCCATTATTTAAGCATGGGGATTTCTTTGGGCTCCTGACCACCGAACGCCCAGGAGCTTCGGAACGTGTCTGCGGACTTAGGTCTGGGGCCTGGGGCTAGCATCCAAGGAACATTTTTTTTGGCCTCGCCGGATATATATATATATATATGTATATTTCAAATTTGTGAGGTAACATAAATTTAAAACACATATATAACAACATATATATATGAGCAGGGACCCCCACCCCCCCCCCCCACCCAGCCAGATGGTTCCCCCCCCCCCTGTGGCAGGGGAGGGGGGGTTTTCTCAGCAGCCAAGCCATGGTGTATGTAGTCTTTATAGTGCATATAATGCATATGTATCGATAATTAGAATGGATATACTATATGTAATATAGAGTGTATGTGTAGTGTATATATATAATATATAAACATATATATAATATGTAAGATATAAATAGAATATATGCAATCTATATATAATATATATATATAATATATATATAATATATATAATATATATATATATATATATTTGACATATATATATATATTGAACATATATATATACATACATCGTATATGTGGTTTTTGATAGAATATAGATAGTATATGCCACATGTACTGTATCCACAGTAGATGTAATATTTACAATATAGGTAAATATGTTCGTTGAATAAATTTTACATAGTATATGTGGTATATTGAATATCGACAGCAATACACGGTGTATATCTAGATTTTATGTATATATATATATGTATATATATATATGTATGCATATGTATATATATATGTACATATATATATATATATACGTGTACAGTATGTACAATGTAAACGAAATATGTGATTGATACAAGATCAAGATATCAATATGTAGTATCTAGAATGTGCATCTATCTATATATATATATATATTTATTGTTTTTCTACTGTACATATGTCTAGGTTTGCATAGGCAAGCTTTGCGTAATCCATAGGTAGCAAATATGTTGTAAACCATGTGCGAGGCACGCTATAGGCGGTTCGAAAAAAAGGTTATGATAGAAATATACAGGTAGACAAGGTCCGTTGACGAGGTCGTGGCTCTCAAGTGCTGCAAATAACGTAGAGATGCGAGGTTGGAAGGGTGGAAAGGGGAGTATATATGTGTATATGTGTGTATATGTGCAAATAACGTGCAAATACTAGGTTTTGGGGGGGTGGGGGGGTTAGGAGTGGGGGGGGGATACCATTGGGGGGGGGTGTGAGGGTCCGGGGACCGGGCTCATATATATATATATATATATATATACACACATATATACACATAATATTCATGGCCACATTTCATCTTCCAATTGCATTTTTATCCATTTTAGAGACGGTTTCCGTATCTTGGATGAATCAAAAGTGATGTAACAATTTGGTCGCCCAGGTGTCACCATGACGAGTCAGGAGGTTGAAACCGCCATGCAGGAACTGAGTCCGACGCTTCCGTTGGGATTTCTTTGGGAGAACGGGGGCACCAGGAACTGAACCTGAGCAGAAAAGGCTGACATTTCACAACCATTTTGTATCGCAACCTATGCTTTAATATGTTTTAATTTCAAAAACTGGACTATTCAATTATATTTAAACAATTATTATTGTTTGGACAGACGTATGCATTTATACCCAAGCAATCGCTGGTAGGGGCTCCGGATTGCAGGGTTTTGGAAGCCAGTCGGACTGGATTAGAAACGGCCAGATCCATCCATCTTCTGTTGGGAATTTTCGGCCAATTGTCGTTCGTCCAAAAGTATTGACCCCTTAAGAATCGGATCTCTGAATACCCAAGCAATCATTAACCAAGACAAAACATAGGTGAAAGAAAGGGTGTCATTTCGTGGGATGTACTGCATAAATTCAAGAATAAGCACTTCTCGTAGATTTGGGCAGCGTTCCCTCACAAGTCTCGAGTCTTGACAGGGATGTTGAGTTCCAAGAGTCCAAGCAAATGGGATGACCCCCTTGCAAACACAGCATTGTCGTTGTTTGCAGACACTAGGGGGGGAGGGGGTGTGGTGGTATTAGTTTGCCCCAGTCTACAGCTAGAATTCCGAAGGCATCTTTTGAGACATGACCATCCCCAGATAGCAGGACCTTTGGAATTCCTTGGCTTCCATCATGATCGATCCCCTCAAAGAGCTGATCTAAGGAACAAGGGAAGCAGCTGCACCTTCGAAGACTTTCGAGATTGGTGGATGAGCCACAACTCCAAGAACACAGGCGCAAGATGTGCAAGTCAGCCATGCAGAGGTGGAGTAGGGGAGGGTATGAGCTACCAATGAAAATGGAAGCAGAACCTACCGAAACGACCAAAGATGACCAACAGGTGTCAACAGGTCGAGGTTTAACCATGCCCATTATGCACATATGTATGTATGTATATATATATATATATTAATATACATACACATATAATATGATGATATATATATATATATAATATTACACTGAGATAGACTCTGGATATATCATGTTTACCATGTCTTACTACCCTAAAGATACCAAGGTTCATTGGGATCCGATCTGCTTTCAGCGATTGGTGAGTCCTACTAATGGTGTTTGGCGCTTGTGAATCACTTGGTTCTTGGCCACAATCTTCCAGCACAGGTCCTGGCAATTTTAATCTAAGGATGATCAATTTCCTCCAATTTCCTCCATTTAGTACCCAGCTTTTGCCTCTGTCCCCACTGTGGTAGTTCAAAATTCCAAGCCTCACTCTTGTGGTGCTTATGTCTTCCATCGCTTCAACCAAGTTTCAGGGTACCCGAAAAAGCATCCATCTCAAAAACTGCGGGGACAGTTGTCCTGGATTTGGTCCATGGCGTGTTTATGTTCCTGTTGGTTAGTCCATTAGTTGCGGAAACTCCCGGGAATGGCAGGGCTTCTCAGCAAGACTTTGGTGAAGGCTGGCATCCCCTTCGGCATCCCCTGGCTGACTCGTTGAAGCTTTAGATGTTGGGAGTCCTGGTCTGCCACAAGGGAGTTGATTCTTTGCAGAGATCAGGGACCGAAGGAAATTGCAATTGTTGTGGGGTACCCAACACCCATTTCTGGAAAGTTAATGGGTGTGGCTTGCTGTACTGGTTTTGCCACATCAAATGGGAAACCCAAAATGCAATAAAAAGACTCTTTTGTGACAAAAGACCAAATTCATTCAAGGGAGGCCGATGCAATATTACGGAAGGGGTGACATTTGAGTATTCAATGCATAGACTTATCGATCCTTTCAATGGCAGCAGAATCTCCCACCCACTGAGGTGATGAGTGACTCCGGGGCCGTAGAGAAGACTCCCTCAGATGTCTGCAGGTAAGATTGGAAAGGTAAGATTTAAGATGGAGAGTGAAGAAGTGGCATGCTTTGTCTGGTCAGGTCAATTAAGGACACTTGCGTAGATGTTCAGGGGCGTCTTTCAAGCAACGTCGCAAATTGTCGCGCCACAAGCGCCAGAGCTCTGCGATGCACGCTAGTTGGGTGCCTTCGACGGCATCGGCGGAGTAGCTGGTCGCAGTTCCCTGAAGGGGAGCTGCAGAACCGTCTCTGTTGCAGCCGCTGAAATGAAGTCCTGGGGCCTGGGGGTTGAGGCCGTTCCACGCAGGTTTTTTGGGGCTCAAAAATCACGGGCATCACCAGCCAACCGGGAGCTCTGCAGCTGGTCTCGGCTCAAGGATCATAGGCATCAAATGGGCTGAATTTCGTGGTGAGTTGAAGAGCCATATACACCCATACACGCATGTCTACAATATTTTTTGTGGCCAGACTCTGATCACTTCTGAATCTTGCAAACGTAACCATGAGAGTCAACTCAAGAGGAAACAAAGTAAGTAGCTATGAAATTGCAGTACATTTTGAGAACATTTGAATTTTTGATTATGTTGAGTACTCACCAGGTGTGGATCCAAATCTATATGAATTGGAAAGACATTAATATGTTCCTCACATTCTTATCATTCTTGGCCCATGGGTTAGGCATCAAAGGGACATATATATATATGTATATATATACATATGCATATGTACAAAAAACATATTATATACATGTGTATATATATACATACACACACACATATATATACATATATATATATATACACATGTATATCTACATATACATATATATCTATATGTGTATATCTATATGATATACACACACTGGACACCCAAGTCTTTGGGTCCCTTGTGGCTCGATCCAGGGACCCTTCTGTGAGCCGCGCTGGATCTTCCAGAGCCATGGCGCCATGGCACTAGCGCGATTACTTCACACACCCAACTGGAAGGCACAATGCCAAGCAATGCCCAGTTGATCGTTGGTGGTTAAACCACAAACAAAATGCTGGTTTAAAATTGTTTAAGAAGGTTTCGGCAACGAAAAGCAAGATTATATAGCTAACCATCAGGGCTAGTTTTAACTAGGCATTGAATCTTGTTGGTGATACTAGATTAACATGCTGCATGAAATTCGGGAATTAGCTTTCGGACATGCAATCATGTTGATCGTGTCCCCAGCAATCATTTCAAAGTTGGAGGTATTACCTACTGGAGCTTGGGGCATTATCTTGCAAACATTGTTATGGAATGTTGGGGTATGAACCATTAAACACGTGCGATATTACGCTGTGAAAGTGGAGATGGAACCAATGAACGATGGTTTTTCTTGCCTTTGAAGAATGGGGGGTTGCACTCCAACTGGTTTCATAACTGGTTTATGGGGATTGTTATTGCAATAATCTTGTATGGGACCCCCTATCAATCATCGGACGGCTTGCTGGAGAGAATCTCATCGCACTGACGTGCCAAATTTCGACTGGAATCCTTAGCAACCAAATTTGGTACATGATGGAGAAACAGCTGGCAACGCTGGGGTAAGCAGCGATTTTTCGATTTGATGGCAACAAATCAGTGGATTTGAAACGGATTTTGAGAGTTGATGGATGCGGTGACGCTTGAATTTTTGAGGTTCAAGTAGTTCAAGTTCCCCCGAGTATATTTGGCCAGTCTTACTGAATGAAGAATCTCCATATTGAAGTCCAGATCCAAAAGCTGCCCATTCCCATTCCTTGGGTTTTCAGGGAACATGTGCAGGAACCGGCATTTGCAGGTCACCTTGCCCTCTGCCTCATGGTGTGGACAATCGTGCCCGAGGCACGGCATTTTTCAGCAGCATGTTTCATGGAGATAGAACCACATTATCCATATTTAGCTATTTTGGTGGCTTGAAATATCTTCTCTACTTCCAAGTGACGAATACTTTTTTTGGGGGTTGAAGCCACTTAAGCAGCTACAGAATTGTGGGCAGTACCCTTAGTGGCGTCCAGAATTGCCCTGAGGTCAGAATGGCTGGCGCCCGTGGGTGCGACCGCTGGAGTGGGTCTGGTGCTTGGCTATAGGCAGGGCATGGCAGTGGTCAAGGTCCTGGAGTGGATAGTCGATTCATATGACTGAACTGTTACCTCCTTATTCTGAACATCCTAGACGGAGCAGAGCATTTTTGGATGTCAGTCCCTCATAGCTTTAGTTTTGACCTCAAACCATATTAAGTAAACATGGAGATTTACCCAATAAATAAAGGAATATAGCCAACACTATCCAATATATAATCGTTATTTGCTCAGTAGCAAGAAAGGGAGCACGTGTGTGCTCCTTTTTGGCACTCCATACGGTGTCTCAAGTTTGACTGCTGAATCCCAACGGTTTGTCATCATCTCCGATTAGAATATGGCCATTAAAAAGTGGTAAATTAAATTAGATGAATGTAAATGATGATCAACCCAAGCGTGCACTCGACTTGCTCTGCAGAGTGCCAGGTCGCCGTCCGCCTCCTGTTTGAGGTGGGAACTGGGATCATAGACAATCATGGCTTTTGGAGAATTGAAACAAGAACTATCATGAACTATCAATAGTCAATAGATTCAATAGATGTCAATAGCGGCTATGGTTTGTGGTTAAGTGTTGAACAACTTCAATCGCTATCGGATTACGATCCGACCTGGACCCTGATCTCGCAGGCGTGCGAAGGCCGGCGATGGTACTGCCCGTGGCAAGGCACGAGTCATGGTAGCCACGGTAGCCATTTCCCAATGGAAGTAGAGGACCCACCAGAGGTTGGTCATTTTGATCGGTTCTTGGGGATTCATCATTCATTACCCAGATCCATTTGGCCCAGGGGACATTCTTACTTCGTGATTAGCCGCATGGTCAAGTGATCTCTCCCAAAGTTGGTTGCAAGGAAAAATTAGCTGACACCACGAGAAAGAATTTGGATGTATGATTATATGTGGATGATTTTGGATTTAAGAAATGGCAAAACGATGGCTGTCCCCTTGAATCAACCAGAAGACTTGTTGGCAATTTCACATATTTCTATTATTTCCAACCCTACTTTAAGATTGGAGATGGAAGCTATTGACTCTGACTCTGATATGTATGTATATATATATATAGCCTCCCTAGTTTTTTACTTTTTTTCCCCAACAGCGATAGCTTGGGGTTGTGAACTCTAAAGGTGTACGGGCCCCAGGTTCGGCCTGGGGGACACAGTCCCGGTGTCTTGGTCCCCGTGGTGTGATATGGTGATGTGAGAAGATGGTGATAGGAAAACATGATTATGACAAAATATGCTGGCAGCAACTTTTTGGGAAACACCCTGTGGAGGTCCTTTCGGGAATTGGTGGTGTCTGTCCTGCTGGTGTCTTGGTGGTCTCTCAATTGTGTTTCGATTGGTTTCTTGGTGGCACTTTGGTGGTGTGTTCGTAGTGTCTTGACGGTGTTCGGTGATGTTTTTGGTGTTTTGCTTATGCTTTGGCGGCGCTTCTGTGGTGTCTTGTCAGTGTTCCGGTGGTGTCTTGGTGTTGAAGGAATGGTATTTTCTTGATTAAGCTGAATCACCTGTCAATACCAAATTGGCGTCAAAGGCACACGAGACTTTGCTATTGGGGTTGTATGCTGGGTTAAGTAAAATTTTAAGGGAGGGGACTGCTGTGAGCGGCAGAACATTTGCTTGAATAAATGGCATTCTTTTTTACAAATCCTTCTGATCCAGATATGAATAGGTTGCACTTTAAACACATACTTGTATCTGTCACCCAACTATGTGCTACTTTTCACCCAGCTATGTGCTCAAAATTGCCATAAATCAAAAAAGGCAAGTTTTTATTCAGAAATTATTGGACATCTAGTTCCATGCAATTCCCATGCAAATTCTTATTAGATTCATATTATATTTCTTGTTTAAGAATCTCCTTGTGAAATATGTTGTTCTTATTGAATGCAATTGAGTAAATACATCAGAGTCAAAGAACCATAAATGATCATAAATGTAAGTACATACAATTCAGGAATAAGCATATTGAAACAAATGTGCATCTTATACAATATCCTTGAAATAGTTTCATGAACCCTTCCAGTATCCCTTGCAAAATATAACGTTATTTTTCTAAAAGATGCAGGGCGTCCCTAAAGAAATACAGCCTTCCATTTAGGGGTAAACATGTTTCTATAATATGTAGCATGAGTTTAAGATAGTGCATTCCTGTTCTAAACAATGAAATATCCCCACCTTATAAAGAGGCATTTTTCATTATCATTAAGTTGCATTGTTCCTTTGAAAAAGTACAATATGTTTTTCAACAAGCAATACCCCTACAATTATGAAGGAATCCTCTAAGATCTAAAAGATGCAGCATTCGTTTCTGAAAAAGCGAAATTTTCTTCCACATGATATCCCTTCAAGTAGACAATATTCCTGGGCCATATGTAGCGTGCTTTTCGAATTACAGCCATCCCTTTAATATGCAGAATTCATGTCAAGAATGCAATACCCAATGCATCAACACTATAGTCCTTGAACATCACGTCAAATGACTATGTTGCCTACACATGGCAAGTACCCCACCATAAGACGATATAGTACCCTTTTCAAGAAGCCATGTTCCTGCAAAAGTAAAAATAATTGTCGTCACACGTGTAGTATTCATGTTGAAAAGGTTCAGTCTTCGTTTGTTGTTCCTTAAGAACCAGGTCTTTCTCTAAAGAAACTAATTTCTGTATTCAATATGAAAGAATTGTGCACTCTTCTTAATCAAATGATTCCATCATTTATGCACCAAGGATTCACCAAGGGACAACCATATTATTTCAGAAAGAGTGCTGCATGTCTAAAAGGATTACATGTTGGAATAATTTTCCATTGTCTTTAGAGAATATTGCATCTCCCTCAAGGAGCTGATAGCTTTTAAAGACAAACAATACTTTCCACACTTTTTTCAAGGAATATCATACTCTTTTGATAAAAGGAACACTATAAACACAAAAGAATTCCATCTTGAATTTTGGAATTATGTTTTGATGTTTGAGGAAATCTTGCACCCTTTTCAAAGAGATGATGCACTTTCTTGAAGGATCATATTCCAGATAGTTATACATGTTATAATACATGTTATAAACATTCACTTCAAAGAATGCCATGATCACAAAAGAACACCATGAAATATATGTGTATATATATATATGTATATATATATTTATAAGTGGACCTTAATTTGAAATGGTGTTGGAATCTGTTAGCAGAAGGCGCCACACTTTTGTGAAATTATGTACGCATTGAAGATCTATTTCAGACCATTACTGCACTCTTTTAAAGATATTACAATCTTTCAAAGGGAATGCACAACGTCATGCCACACTTTCTGTAAGGAATATCACCTTCTTTGAAAAATAAGACTTGGGATCACAGATATTGGAAGATTGTATGCAAACAAATACCGAACCCATGTCCTAAGTGCACCTTGTCTGCTTTATTTTGTTTCAATTGTTGGGCATTGTCTTTGAACAGTGCCAAATTCTGCGGAAAACTAGGTGGAAATGGATGAACTACAAAATTGCCCTCAACCCATGCCCAAGTCTCCAAGCATCTGATTTTCCAAATTTGGCGACAAGAAGGCCGGAACTAGCCGGAGTCATGATGTAGGACATTACGAATCCAGATTAATTAATCAGGATCATACCAAAACCTCGAGAAAACCGAACAAACAAACAAAAAACAAGAAAAAACCAAGATTTGGCAACTTGGCAACTAGTCCAAAGGTCAGAGTAGGTGTGGAAATATGTTTTTTGGTTTGGATTGATCACAGGATTAATTAACCTTGGTGGAGTTGATGTTATGCCAGTGTTGTGATGTATGATGTAATGCCAGTGATTAATTAGGATTAATCCAGATTAATCACGATTAATCTAGAACCAAAAAAACAAAAAAACAACAAAACCAACAAAAACAAAGGTTTGGCAACTAGTCTAGAGGTCAAAGTAGTTGTGGAAACATTGTTTTTGTTTGTTTCTTTTTGTTTTTTTGGTTCTAGATTAATCATGGATTAATCTGAATTAATCTGTGCAACCAATGCAGAGAAGTGAAAGCAGATGTTGGAAACAGATGTGTGTAATTGGACAGATGTAGGGCAGATGTAATGTAGGCAGATGACTGATGTAGTGAAATTACGTGGTGCCATGAGATGTGTCAGAAACGACTCTTGTGAGGGCAAGTAGTAGGAAACTATTCTGATGAAACTATTCTTCCCCAAAACTTGTGGATTCTGCCGCTCGCAACAGTCCTTTCCGAATTTTAAATGGTACACACATTTACTCTATAATTCAACAATTTACTGGTTAGCATATAAACTTAACATATCTTAACATATCTTGCAGCGGCCGGGCAGGTGGTGGTTCCGATGCGTCGCCAGAATGTGGTGAGGCCGAAGCGGAAGGCGCGCAGAAAGAAGTGGGTTTTCCCTCAGAAAACCCCAATGATTCCCTCAGAAATGGACTAAAGATACCCTCTGGTAATTTAACATAGCTATTGAAAATGGTGATTTATACTGGATTTTCCCATTGAAAATGGTGATCTGATTTTTTGAAGATGATTGACAGCTGCATCATTTGAAAAGTTTTTACCGTTAAAGAACCATCAGATGTAAATGTTCTTGTTGCTGCTGATGTTGATGTTGATTATGACGTTGATGTTGCTGTTGCTGTTGATGTTGATGTCGATGATGATGATGATGATGATGATGATGATGATGATGTTGCTGTTGATGATGATGATGTTGATTTTGATGTTGCTGTTGCTGTTGATGTTGCTGTTGATGTCGAAGTTGATGTTGATGTTGATGATGATGATGATGATGGTGATGATGGTGATGATGATGATGATGATGATGATGCTGATGCTGATGCTGTTGATATTGATGTTGTTGATGATGATGATGATGGTGGGGTGGTACCCTCAATATACTGTGGCAATTGGACATCCCCTGCAAATGAAGGTTTGATGGGAAAATGATGGAACAAAATCGTGGACTTTCCAGCATACCATGTTTGCTGACCGGAGGGTATATCCGGAGGGTATATCCCATGAAATATCCCATAAAACCTCCATTTATCCCACTACTGTAATATCCCATTAAATCACTTTAACCCACCCAAAGATCGCGCCGGTAGGAGGAAGAGGAAAACTCCGAGCCGAAGACGTGGGCCAGTCAGGTCCAGTTGGCCGAAGGAGTTTCCAGTTTTACACCGTGGCAATGTCAACACCATTCAACACCATAATCCATAAACCATTAGATTGTGTATGTAGAAAATGTAAACACATAAATATATGCATGTCGAATATACGGATGTATATATTGTAGATGTAGATGCAGATGTAGATAGAATTGGTATACAATCTGATGGTCTATGTCACCCCAGGATCAAGAAAGACCTGATATTATTGATCAATTTGATGGGCTTTGGATTGAACATGGATTGCTTGGCCCTTACTGAAAGTAAAGAAGCAACTCCAAGTCTACTTTTTCTTGGCCGAGTCTCAGTGATTTCAGCCGATCGAACTTCCGATCCCACCATCGCCATGAAGCTGCTGTGCCTTGCCTGGTTGGCCCTTTGCCTAGCAGATGATGCGCAGAACTTGCGGGGCAACGGGAAGGCAGTGACAGTTGCACCCAAAGCTGCCAAGCCGGAAGAGGTTGGATGTGGTTGGATGGTTGAGAGCAAAGATGGTTTAATCATGTTTTACCAACAATTGTGGACATGATGTTATCAACAAACATGTTGTAATACACACGCACTTGACCATTTGTGGGTCCCCTGGTACCTCATTTGAATAGCCACAAGCCAGGTGGGCGCCGTCGCAAAGGAACCTGCTGAGAAGGAGGTGCCAACGGCCAAGGGCGACAACCAGGTCTCTCAGTCTGAGGTGGGAGCTGTGGCCAAAGAACCTCAAGTGCCACGAGCCAAGGGTCCCGAGAATGAGACACCCCAGCAGGAGAGTGGCACTGTTGGCAAGGATGCTGGAGGCGTTGTGACACCTGCCAAGTCCGACACTGTGAAGGCGGAGGACTCAGATGAAATCGGCAAGCCTGTGGCAGAGTACCCCGCCTACTATTATCCATCGGAATGGGAGTATGCAAGAGAGTGGGAGGCTGAACGTGAGTTTTGGGAAGATCTGGATGCCCCCTATGAAGTCTTTGAAGGCCCAGGCCCTGAGGAGGAGGTTGAGGAGGTTGGGGTCGTTGTGCCAGAGCTCGACCCTGAGGGCCCCCCAGTGGTGGCGCAGGCTGCCACGGGCGCCACAGCTGCCACAGCCGCCACGGCAGCTGCTGCTGCTGCTGCTGCCACAGCCGCCACGGCCACGACGGCTGGCACGCGTGCCCTTGCTCCGGTAGCGTTGTGGGGCGGTCGTAGGCGCCCAGGGCGCCCAGGGCGCTGGGGACGCCGGCCTGGACGTTGGGGACGACCAGGACGCCGACCCTGGGGAAGGCCAATCTACCGACCAAGGCCATATTACCGACCAGGCTGTGGGCTGGAATTTGGGGTTGGGTGCATTTGGGCGTAAGCCAAAAATAGGGAACCCGGGAACCCACATTAATTAGTGAATGGTCCGGTCCACGAGATTTTGTCCCTTTTGGACGTATCCGTTCTGCCAGTTTGAGTTGCTTTTGCACCACTTACATCCCTCATTAAAACTAGAGCATAGTGGGCTGAAATATAGCAAAATACCCGACAAGTTTGTGAGGCTAGCCTTCTGGAGCCTTTTTCAGGAAAAGCCCAAAAGAAACCAATCCCTGGTAGCTGCCCTTGGAGTCTGTTCAGGATATTGCCTGAGGTGGGCGTACTACTATGGGGGCCGCTACTGTGCTTACTGGCGCTAAGCGACCACAGCAGTGCAAAGGAAGTGGTTTTGAATTTCCCACTCAAAGCAAACCAACAGAGTTTGTGTGCGATTGTGACTTGATCTTGCAACTTTTGACCTGTCGTATCGATGGGAATTCGTGAACATTGTTACATGTTCCCAAGTGTTCGCGAGTGTGCCACACAGATGACGCCTCGCAGATGCCTGGGCGCGACATGTCGAGCCAGTTGTTTAACCCAGCGTTGCTCGATTTGTGAAGATGCAAAAGGTGTCGACGCAGGAAGCAGGTGTTGAGACTGGGATGATTCCTGAAGTATGTAAATGTCTTCTGTCTATGTAATGTACTCGTTTAAATATGATGCATTGGCTACATACACCAGTTGCAATTCGCAAGCAGCATTTTATACCTCCAATCACTCCACGTTTTCCCAGATCAGGGAACATCAGAGGACAATCCGATGATCAACGGATTTTTGGGGACCGGGAGATACTTCCTGGACACTCAGAACGCAGGAATGAATGGATGAACATCCATGACGAACAGCTCTTTAGACGTGAACACAAAGCTAGCAGAATTTTGACCCATACCGCTCAACATTTTTTTTTTTAAAGATTAATTTCTTTCCTGTATGTATATATGTAGATATAATATATATATATATTATATATAAATATAAGTATGTATAGTATATACATATATATATATATGCATTATATATGTACAGTATATATACATATTTGGCAGGTCCTGAAACCAACCGAGTCGAGGGTTGAGATTCCAGGTTTGGACACCTGATGGCTTTAGACATCCCCATCCAGTGCTGCATGACCTGCTGTTGGGTGACCAGTTGCTTATTTCGGACGCGCATCCGAGTAGCATCTGAGAATCTGTCATTAGCAATTGCTCCCCCAATTCAAGATTATCTACTTATTGAATGAAGACGTGGATTCCCAATTTTAGGTGGGTTGGGTCGCAATTTCTTGTGGCAACTTGTGGGTGTCAACCGATTTTTATGGTGGTTTCAACCCCGCATTTGGAGGCTTTTCCCGTATGCAGGCAGAGACTCCTCACCCGCAGCGCTGCGATGCGCTGTGTTTGGCGGATGTGACTTGGCTTAAGTTTGCAAGGGGAGATAAACTAACATAGCTATTGAAAATGGTCATTTATAGTTGATTTACCCTTTAAACATGGTGACTTCCCATAGTTATGTTAGTTTACCAGAGGGTACCATTCCATTTGCCAACTAAAATCGGTCAGGATTTGGGATCATCTGGTTATCCTGTGGCCCATGCTTCGCCGGGAGGCGTATCAATATCTTGATTTTAAGGGGTGAGAATTATGATTTTCCATGATGAAATTAAGTGACGATTCTCTTCTCTTGCCATTTGGAGCACTAATATCGAGTGGATGAGAATTTTGATTCTTCATCAAGAATTCAAGTAAAGCAGTCCCCTGCCTTTTCCCATGTGGACCAC